TATCAAATTTAAAAATAATTTGTATTAATTTCAAAAAATATAAACATATAGGAGAAAGAGTTATATTCGCTGACTTTTGAATTATGAAAGCCTGAGCCTGAGCTAATTCATTTGTGCCCTGAGCTGATTCATTAGTGCCCTGCCCGTCCCCAGGTGGTCACACTCACACCTTGTTCACTTCTCACCTGCTCCCTGCTTCTTCTGGGCACACTCCATCCTCGAGTCGCGTGGTGCCTGGAACCTGTCCCCTGAATGTGTGCTCCCATCACTTTATAGTAATGTTTCTTATAGTACCTCTCAAAATGGAGGGGATATGATTATTAATCAGTTTGTCTTAAGTGCTTTTTTATGCATTAAAATATTTTTCTTATTTTAATGACATTTTATACTTCTAAAGAAATAATGCTTTTTAGCTTTTTATTGGTTAAGTATGATATTTAAGTATAATACTTATTTGAGAGGGATTACAAGACTAATAAAACTAATAACTAATAAAAATGTGGAGCAAAGCCTTGCCAAATCCTTTTGAGGCCATTTTTTCCCTTTGTTTTGCAGTGTTAAGAACATTATAGACGACCAGGAATTCTGGTCTTCCTGCGAGAGGGATTACAAGACTAATAAAACTAATAACTAATAAAAATGTGGAGCAAAGCCTTGCCAAATCCTTTTGAGGCCATTTTTCCCTTTGTTTTGCAGTGTTAAGAACATTATAGACGACCAGGAATTCTGGTCTTCCTGTATTCTTTCTGTTGTATATCAGTGCTTATACAGCTTTGGACTATCATTTTGCCATTTATAGTCAACTTATTTCTTTAACCCTTCCAATAGTCTGTATTTTTAGTGCACTGGTTGGTGTGAAGAAAAATTTCTCTTTCTATATACAGCACATCAGTTTCCATTTTTAGGGGGAAATCTAAGGAGTATGAAACAACACCTGTTTACTGTGGGTTAGAATTTTCTGAAAGTGGAACTCAGTTTTCGTCTCAGCAGTACAGATGTTTTAGGCCTGGGTTTGATTTTGGAGGTCGTCTAAACTCATTTTTGTTATACCTCTTTTCTGAAAAGTCAGCTTCTAAAGATCAGAAGCTGGCCAGTTAGCTCAGTTGGTTCGAGTGTGGTGCCAATAACACCAAGGTGTGGAGTTTGATCCCTGTACTGACCAGCAAAGACAAACAAAATACCTTTTAAGTAAAAGGAGAAAAGATAGGGAAAAAAAGGGGGGGAGGATAAAGAGGTAGAAAAAAGTCATATCGTACAACACAGAACACTTCTGTGAGAGAGTTTTTTCCTAGACACCAAGTAGCATTTCTGCATGTCCTCTGGTTCAGTTCTGACACTATCTACTTGGAGCATGAAGATCCTGCAGATTGAGGGTTCAGTACCACAAGACAGACCCCCCCCCATTCAGATGCCAGTCACAAGTAGTAGGTTGTTACCTGTACTTCTGACAGACTGGCTATAAGTTGGGGGTTTCTATGACCCCTTCCTTGGGTTTGGTTAATTTGCTAGAGCAGCTCCCAGAACTCAGGGAAACACTTTACTTATATGTACCCATTTATTATAAGGGATATTACAAAGGATACAGTTGAACAGCCAGATGAAGAGAAGCATGGGACAAGGTATGCGAGAGGAATGCGGAGCTTCCATGCCCTCGCCGGGCAAGCCATAGTCCAGGAACCACCACGTGTTAGCTATCCAGAAGCCCCATCTTTTGGGTTTTTATGAACCCTGTCCTTTTGGTTTTTTATGAAGGCTTCATTACATAAGCGTGATTGACTAAGTCGCTGGCTAGTGGTGATCAACTTAACCTTCAGCCCCTCTCCCCTCCCAGGAGGTTGGGGGTGGGGCTGAAAGTCTCAACACTTGAGTCCTACCTTAGACTTTCTGATGACTGGCCTCCATCCTGAAGCTACCTAGGGGCCACAGCCACCAGTCATCTCATTAGCCTGAAAGCCACTTCTTTCACTATAGAGATTCCAGGGGATTTAGGAGCTGCATGTCTAGAAATAAGGTTGAAGACCAAATATATATTTCAAAATGTCACAGCTTCCACCAGCTGCTTGGTGTGTGCCTTCCTCTGTCACTGAAGAGCAAGCCTTTCACACAGCAGGCGAGAGCACCCCCACTCTCTCTCTGCCACTGCTCTTAGGACTGTACATATTGTTATTTCTTTAAAGTGCAGTCATGTGTTCAGTATGGGGATACATTCTGAGAAATGCATCTTAGGCGATTTCATTGCATGACCATCACGGTGTACTTACACAAACCTAGAATGGTATGGCCTGCTACACACCTAGGCTGTATGGTGTAGCCTGTGGCTCCTAGGCTATAAACCTGTACAGCATGTTACTGTATTGGATGCTGTAGGCAATTGTAACACAATGGTAAGTATTTGTGTGTGTAAACATATCTAAACATAGAAAAGGTACAGTAAATACAGTATAAAAGATAGAAAATGGTATCTGTATAGGGCACTTAAAATAAATGGTGACTGCAGGACTGGAAGTTGCTCTGGGTGAGTGGTGAGTGAGTGTGAAGGCCCAGGACATTACCATGCAGTACTGTAGATTTTATACACACTGTACACTTAGGCTAGACTAAATTTATTTTTAAAAAAGTCAATTGTGCTACGTCACCATGGCTGTGATGTCATTAGAAGGTGGGAATTTTTCAGCTCCATTATGATCTTATGGGACCACTGTTATACGAAGGTACTTCCATGTGGAAAAATAGAATTAAAAGATAATGTAAATCTTTCCATGACCTTTTTGTAGTACCTTCATATATGCAGTCTCTCATTGACCGAAATGTCATTATATCTGTATTAAACAAAAGGTTTAGTGGGAAGTATGGTCGTGAATGCTGTGGTAGAAATGTGTGCACAGAGTGCTGGGCACAAAAGAAGGGACATGTGAGCAGCACTCAAGGTGGGGCAAGTGAGGCATTCCAGGTGGGGCTGCAGCTTGTACATAGGTGGGCAGTCTTGGGTGGGAATGATTTCTGCAGGTGCTTTAAGTACTTTGCAACTGCCATGCAGAGTATCTGTCTTAGGCTGGAGAAAAGATTGGACAGGGGGTCAGAACTTAGTTCATTAGGTACCTCTCATGCCATGCTGAAAGTTTACTCCATTTTTATACTGAAGGTGGAATAAATAATTGTACAGTTTTAAATAGGGGAATAGAATGATTATGTTTGCATTTAAGAAAGACTACCCTACAGGAAATGGAAGATGCATTGGAGGGTGACAGATTACAGATAAAGGAGATTAATTAGGGACTTCCTCCTGGTGGGAAATGATGGGACCCAGAACTCTGGCAGTAGAAGAGGGGCTTGGAGACTTGTGAGCTCATAGAAAGGACTTAAGAGACAATTAGATGTAAGGGCATTGGGAAGGAGGACAACTGGTAAGATTTCTGGGTGTCGGTCTTGGGTAAGTTGGTGAATAGAAGTGCTACTAAGTGAAATAAAGTCTAGAAGAAGGATTGAGAAGAAGTTGGTTTGAACATAATAAAGCATTTAAGTGGACATGTTCAACAAGCAGGTGGCTACATAGATACAGTTTAGAGATGAATTTGGGTTTGAGATAGAAATTTGGACATCATTCGTATTATAGGTTGTAAAAGCTGTGGATGGGAATGAGACCTCCTGGGTTGAGCTTATACTGAGAGGGAAAGAAGGCTGAGAAATAAGGAAACCTGTATATTATAATTTATAAAAGTCTCATTGAAATAATACCCTGTTTCTGGACTCAAGAATGCCCAGTTTAGAGTTCTGGGACTGGCTGACTCCTTCCTAGTCATGCTTCTGGGCCTCTTCGTAGAGCCTGATCGATTTCTAGCTCCCATTTGTAGTCCTCACCAAGTGACAGCTTGCGGCCAGTGCTGCTGCTTTCTTGTTTGGGCACATGTAACTTCTTTGAATGAGACTCTCATTCTAAGCACTGAAGTAGCCCATAAAGGATCATGAGTTTCAAAATTATACATAAGTTATTTCAACTTGAAATTTATATGAACCAAATATCTTGCAAAAGACTTTACTCAAGAGTAAAAAGTCATAGAACTATGATTCCACTAATGAAAAAGAGATATTTATGAAAGTAATTTAAAAATATGGGAAGGTTTAAATATATTGTTAGCCATTTATGTGTTGGAACACTAAGCAATCATTACATAATGTTTTTGAAGAATAATGACAGAAATGCTTATATTTTGTTAAAGGCAAAAGGGATACAAAAGTCTGTATGTGATATCCCATTTAAAAAATACATTTGTAGAAAAAAATCTAAAATGAATTACATAGTGAGGTAATTATTTTATTGAAGAAGCATAATTTTTTTCTATTTCAGCTAATCTTCCAGTGCCAACGATTGCAGCAATAGATGGACTTGCTTTAGGTGGTGGTCTTGAGCTGGCTCTAGCATGTGATATTCGAGTAGCAGGTGAGAATTAATCCTACTGAAAACATCATTTTTAAAAAATGGAGTTTGTGTTTACTCTTCAGATAACTCCAAACATTTTGTTCTGTTTCCTGTTCAGTAGAACATTTTTTAAAAGTCACCTGTGGGCTTAATGAGTATTTAAAATTCCCCATTAAGGAAACAGTCTTTTGTTGTTTCTTACTCAGTAGGAAAAGAAACCAGGAGTTGGGTGAGGCAGAACTGAGTTTGAATCTTAGGTCCTGCCCTTTTTAGACCGTTCCCTCCTCTCTAAAATGGGGGAAATGACTGTTGATATTGTGAAGATTAAGTGAATTAATCTCTGGATGTGCTTAGTTTAAGCACTTAGTTACCATTAGCTACAATAATAGTAACTTAATCTCTTTGAAATTCACTTTCTTCCTGAATGCTTTTCTGAGGATTGTATGAGGCGATTATATAAAAATAATGAAAGCAATTAGTGCAAACCGCTTACTGAGTGCTGTGCTGTGCACCTGACATGTACTCATGCACGCAGTCTGCCTAGCAACCCTATGAGCAGGTACTTTGGGGTACAGGAGGAAGTTCGAGCAGGGAGAGGGAAAGTAAAAAGTCCAGAAGAAGTGACGGAGCTGGGATTTGAACCCAAGCCATCTCGCAGCATAGCCCACCCTCCTGTTATCCTCCTGGAGCAGTACATACTGATCTGCTGTACATGGCACACACAGACACACACACACACACACACACGGAGTGAGAGAGTGCGTGTGTACATACTGATCTGCTGTACACGGCACACACACACACAGAGTGACAGAGTACATGTGTACACGCATACGTGTGCCTTAGCCCTGCCTGTATCCTTGGGCTCCGGGACCAAGAACTGGGCAAAGCAGATGGCACAGCATTGCCACTATTTTCCCCCGGTTTCCACTGTCACTTCCAGTGTGACAGCATGTCAACGTAATTCAGCTTTTAATAGTTTTATGTGACTTTCTTGGGGTTTGTGGTTGCTAGTTCATGCCTACTTTTTCTTCCTGTTTACTTTAGGTTCCTATTTTCTTTCTTTTTCTTTTCTTTTTTTTTTTTGGTCCTTTTTGAGACCGGCCGCACCGTGCTCAGCCAGTGAGTGCTGTGAGCGCACCGGTCATCCCTATATAGGATCCGAACTCACGGCGGGAGTGCTGCCGCGCTCCCAGCGCCGCACCCTCCCGAGTGCGCCATGGGCTCGGCCCAGTTCCTATTTTCTTTTGATGAAATCATTGGGTTTTAAATTGAAAAGCTAAGGTGCATTTAATCCATTTCTGAAAGAATGCAGGTTCTGGAAATTAGGAAATGGTAAATAGTCTGAGTACATTTGAATATACAAATGAAGAAATAATTAAGATGTTTTAAAGTACTTGTGAAAATAAACATGAAAGGAGGAACCCAGTTCAGCTGTCAGAACAGTAAAACCATTTGTCAGAAAGTAAGTAGAGACTTGGTTTTGAAGAGCTGCCATATCTGATATGATACATTAAGCTGTTTGATCTGGGGGACTCTTCAGGCAGCTAAAGAATTCATACTTGTCAGACACAGCCTCTCTCCTGATCCTAGATAATTAATGGGATCTCAGCCTTCAGATATGAGTTGCCAATATCAGGCAATAATGTAGTACAGCCTTTGTCTTTCTGCATCAAAAATTAATTCACTGCCAAGCAATTTTAACAGAAAATGTGACTCTCCCAATGTATGTCATTAAGAATGTTTACTCATTTCCATAACTAAGTGCCTTTTGAAGTGATTTTTTAAAAAATTTGTGACATAAATTTAATTAGTAAATAGTATTTTTAGTGTATCTTATTTTACTAACTTTGTGAAGTCTTCATATTTGGGCCGGCCCGGTGGCACACTGGATAAGTGCGCTGCTTGCGAAGCGCGGCGGCGCTCCCGCCCGCGGGTTCGGATCCCACATACAGACCGGTTCCCGCTCACTGGCTGAGCGAGGCGCGGGAGCAACGCCGAGGGTTGCGATCCCATTGCCGGTCCCCGGTCCGGTACGGGGGCAACACTGAGGGTTGCGATCCGTTGCCGGACACGGAAAAAGACAAAAGACAAAAAAAAAAAGTCTTCATATTTGAATTTAGCGATATGAGTGTTACTTAATTTTCTTTTTTTCTTTTTAGCTTCTTCTGCAAAAATGGGCCTGGTTGAAACAAAGCTGGCAATTATTCCTGGTGGAGGTATGAGTTGTTCCTGCCCATCTTTCAGTACCCTTGATTTGTTCCCAGAAACGGTGTAAGGCAAAATCATGTTAATTCGAAAGGAAACATTTTTGGTGAAGAGACTAATGTTGTGTTGCTTTTGCTCCTCTAGCCAAGTCCCTACTCAAAATGTGTTCTTTTTTAGCTTATGTAGACAGTGAAGATAGTAATTACATTGGCTGTTGCTTTCTTTTTATACTGTCTTCTTTGCCTTTCTATATTATTTCTTAAGTTTTAAATGATTGTTCTGGTCACATTATCATCACCATTTGGATCTATTTTCTTAAAGGATTGCACAGGTATTTTGAAACTTTTCCATGTACATTTAGATGTGTGCATTCTCACTAAGAGCTTCATGCCTATGGTCAGACCCTGAATGGGGGAGGAGAGAGGGCTTCCCGGGCTTTTTGCCATCTTTCTTGTGTTTCTGTGCAGCAGGGCAAAGGTTGGGATTAATTTGTAGCCTGAATTTGGAATTAAAGCGGTATGGTTTCTTCTGTTCCTACGAAAAAAGTAGGTGAGCTTCTTCTGTTGGAAGAGTCATTAAGAAAGCACCTTTCCAACATTGATAGTGAAATCTTGCATCACCCAATAAATCTGAAATTTTTGCTGGTTTGGTTCAGAGAACTTGGAGATATTTCCAGTTGGTAAAGTTGTTCTTAATTTAAGGATGTGCGTGTTATAGTAACTTTCTGTATTAGTCCGTTTTGTGTTGCTGTAACGGAATACCTTAGACTAGGTAATTTATAAAGGAAAGAGGTTTATTTGACTCATTATTCTTGGGTAGCTGCATCTGGCGTGGGTCTTAGGCTGCTTCTACTCATGGAGGAAAGTACAGGCAGTCAGTGGGTGCTAGGAGATTACATGGCGGGAGGAAGAGAGAGAGAGAGAGAGAGAGAGAGAGAGGGAGGAGTGGAGAGGAGGCGTAGGCTCCTTTTAACCACCAGCTTTGAGGCACTCCCTCTCCCCCACCAGGGCCTTCATCTACTTACGAAGGATCCACCACAAGGATCCTCACAACACTGCCACATTCGGGATCAGATTTCAACTTGAGCTTTGGGTGGGCAAACATATCTAAACTGTGTCACCTTCCTTGGTAGCTTTTGCATATCACGAGTGATAACTTGTTAGTGTATCACTTATAAATGATAACTTATTAGTGTATGAATGAAATATCAGTAACAAGGTAAGAATTAAAAGACGATGTTGAACATGGCAGACATGTTTGCATATGAATGGGTTAAAATTATATGTTTAACCTTATCATTATAAGATTATCCTGGTTAGGATGTGTAGGTAGAAGTGAAAACTTAAGTTACAGTGAATTTGAAGAATACCCAGGTCAGTGTATAAAACTTACTATGTTTTTTACTTAGGTAATCCACAAAAATGTTATTCTTGTAGGCTAAAAGCATTTGATATCTACCTGTTCTACCATGCCTGCCTTTTTCACAGTGACTAATGAAAACACTAGAAGGATTTATAAAAAAATGGATCCACTTGACGGGCCGGCCTGTGGCTCACTCGGGAGAGTGCAATGCTGATAACACCAAGGCCATGAGTTCGGATCCCATACAGGGATGGCCGGTTTGCTCACTGGGTGAGCGTGGTGCTGACAACACCAAGTCAAGGGTTAAGATCCCCTTACCGGTCATCTTTAAAAAAAAAAAGGATCCACTTGAAAACAATTATCAGATAACTAATATGTGAAAAAAAACTACTAAAAAGGATGACATGACATGTTACTGAAATATTATTAAGTAAGGATTTATTGGTAATTAGGATATATCTAATCCTAGGAAGATAGTGGCTGTGGTGGGTTGAATGATGCCCTTCATCCCCCACCCCCCAAAATGTGTCAGCCTGGAACCTGTGAATGTGACCTTATTTAGTAAAAGGGTCTTTGCGGATGAAATTAAGATCATTCTGTATTATCTGAGTGAGCCTTAAATCCAATGACAAGTGTCCTTATAAGGAAGAAGAGAAGACACAGACAGGAAGAGAGGGTGATATGATGTCAGAGAGTGGAGTAATGCAGTGACAGGCCAGGGACGCCAGGGTTGCCATTGGACCACTGGAGACCAGGGAGAAAGGCATGGGACGGATTCTCCCTCCGAGTGTCCAGAAGGAACCAGTTCTGCCAACACCTTGATTTCAGACTGCTGGGCTCCAGAACTCTGAGAGAGTAAATGTCTGTTGTTTAGAGCCACTAAGTTTGTGGTGATTTGTTACAGCCGCCTTAGGAAACTTAATGCAATGACATTTAAAAACAGTTTTTAGGTGGCTGGCTGGTAAGGGGATCCGAGCCCTTGACCTTTGTGTTTATAACACTGCGCTCTAAACAACTGAACTAACTGGCCAGCCCCTTAATACAACGACTTTTTAATGATGTTTAAAAGTTTTTTTTGAACGGGGGTGGGCAGATTATTAGGTGGCAGAGATTGGGGGTGGGATGAAGAGGAACTTGGTAATTTGGATATTTACTGTGTCTTAAATATGAAATATTTTGTATTAAAACCACCAGAAGGTAGAATGGTTATATGAGAGTACTGTTAGGTTTGATTAGGTGAAAAAAGATTGATTCTACTACTGAAAAGAGGATGATGGCTTTAATTCATTTCGTCTTCTCTCATGAACTTGCTGCACCATGCCATATGAGGTCTAGAAATTAGAATTTTTTTCCCAATATACTTAACTTCTCCAGGATCCTCTTCAATAGTGGATCCAAACCCACTTTTTACAGATTTGATTGAATTTGGACTACAAATTGTCATGAATAGAAATATTTTTCTAATTTTTATTAAACGAATTTGTCATAAAAATCAGAATGCTTTACTTAACATTTTCCCATCTATTTTATAGGATGGTTTTCTGTTTTTTTGTTTGTTTCCTAAGTGAGTCTTAGGAAGACAAGTTGCATCTTTAATAACATGAAGCTTTCTAGTACATAGTTCATAGCATGCTGCGTAGCATTGAATTTTTTATTGGAAATGAATCTGAGGGCCGACCCCGTGGCTCACTCGGGAGAGTGCGGCGCTGGGAGCACAGCGGCGCTCCCTCCGTGGGTTTGGATCCTATATAGGGATGGCCGGTGCGCTCACTGGCTGAGCGCGGTGCTGGCGACACCAAGCCAATGGTTGCAATCCCCTTACCAGTCACACACACACAAAAAAGAAATGAATCTGATTCCGTATGAAGCCACATATTCATATTTACATAAAAAGAGATACACACAGAATTTTTGGTGCACTTTCACTTTAGTATTGTGGTTCTTAAAGTTCCCCAGGTAAAGTTTGTTTTTTTAAGCAGCAGAGCAGTTTATTTTAAATAAGAGCAGTTATTTTGTATATTACCTAAAAGAGCTATTCTGAAATTTTTATATAGAAAAATCTTCTGCTCAGTCCACAGAAGATTTTTAAGAAATCTGTAGGTATTTTTGCCATCTCCATTTCTTCTCTTTCCTTTCCTTTTGTCATAGTTGACCCTCATATGAAAAGACTGTTTTAAGCTGTTTTTAAATTGTCGAATTTTGCCATGCCTAAAATGATCTCCTAGATGTCCTCCTTTTGGCTGTAAGCATTTCTGTTAACTGTTATCACGGATACAGTAGACTACGCTTACGTCTTCTTCCTTCTTGGTGGGTCTCTTGGTTAAAAGAAGACGCATCCCTTGCTTCACCGTCATGGCAGCAGCCAGGGGTTCGACGTCCTGGGCAGGCCTGGCTGTCCCTAGGGAGCCCTGCCTTACCGTCAGCTGTGTCTTTTCAGCTGCTGACCACAAAAGACGGATAGAAAATAAGTAGGGAGAATATTGTGGGAAAAGTAAATGCTTCATTTTCTTTTTTAATATTATGGGGGAAGTGAATATCTTTGGGTAAGATATATGAATTGCAGCCAGTCTAGAAAATACGGGTGTTATAAGTCTGACAAATAATGCTCCCCTACGTTATTACAGGTCTGGGAAGCATTTGAAAGTTAATCCAAGTGAAACTGTACCTCCCGTGTGAATTTACTGTGTATTGGATGAAGACAAAAGAGTTAACATGATGCTACTGGTTGTCATGTCGTCACTTCTGCTCTTCCTACGTTATTACAGGTCTGGGAAGCATTTGAAAGTTAATCCAAGTGAAACTGTACCTCCCGTGTGAATTTACTGTGTATGGATGAAGACAAAAGAGTTAACATGATGCTACTGGTTGTCATGTCGTCACTTCTGCTCTTCTGTGACAATGGTTTACAAGGAACAGTTTATCAGAAACTAGTGTTTAGTGTTTTTTTGTTTGTTTTCTATACTTAAACTTGAGTCTGAATAGCAATACAGTTGTTTTTAAGGTGTGCTTTATAAATAAAAAGATAAGTTCAACTAGAAAATAACTGTTTTGGAGAGATAGTATGTTCCTCATTAACATGAGCATCAGTGGAATACTGTTATACAGTTTTTAAATTAGAATTCTCAATTTCAGTTTTTATTAGAAAGGATATTGTTTAGTTTCAACTGACTGTACTAAAAGTATAGTTTAATGAAAAGAAAGGTGTGAAGGAATGTAGAAACATTTAAATAAAACTGAACTTTCTCAAATAGTAATTATATCAGATATAATTAAAAGACTAATTGACTGTCAAATACTTAAACCAGTATTTTTATTTGTAATGTATATATTTTATTACAAACAAATATTATAGAATACAAAGTTCAATGCTATTGATTTATAGCACTAGCCATTTTAAAAATAATTAAAACTGTTACCTCAGAACCTTGCTATAATATTCTAAGATATTTTGGGCATTTTTGTACTATATATAGCCCTAGTCTGTTCTCCAATATTCTTACCTTTAAGAAAGCATTTTCAGCCTCCTATCTTCTTCCCAACTGGGAGAATATGCAAATATTACAAAATAAAATTCTCTTTTAAAAATATTTTCTAAAGAAATACCACTCTTTAACACATTTATAAGAACTGAATAGAATAAGTTCAGATC